CCAGACCACTTCCAGCTAGCAGAATTCTGCTCTGCATTGTGTTTTATTTGCAACACTTAATGGTTGGAATGCTGCTGTTTCTAAAGAAAGGGAAATAAAAATATTTATGTGTATACTTCCATTATCCAACCTGACATCTCTGCAGAAAAAAATTACCATGCTGTTGTGCTGTCTTATAGTATGGACTCATTAGTAGTTCATCATTTCTCAAGATAGCCTTAGGTACAATCCCATTACTGGATAGCCTCACTATGAGAGAATCTCATTAACATCCTCCTGACTGTTCAGTTTGCTCTATGTTCGCCTTTGAAACTAGGGGTAAAAATATCTTTATACGTGTTTTCTGCTTCTGTGTCAGATACATGGATTAGGAGGTCTATCTCTTCAAATGTGTTAAGTCTGCTGTTCTCCAGAAGTATTCAGACACGGGAGTGGTTTATCTAGTTTCACTGAATTTACAAAAATGTCTGAGCATGAACACTTTGGTGGTTTGGCATTTTCTGACATTGAAATGACATTTCTCAAGTGGCAGTGTCATTTAAAGGCATGATGATCTTTACATCTATAAACAGCAGGAATAGTGAGGTTTTGAGAGGAAATTTCACATGCTATTTTCAACTTCTAAGCTTCCTAGTCATACTGCTTATTCACAGCTTTAATAAACAATGATAAACATACTGCCAGGCATAATCTACTTCCACATTTAACATTACTACAAAAATATGTTTCAGTCAGCAGCCAAATGCAAGAGGTTTGTCTGGGAACAAATAGTATCTTTTATTAGAACATACGACAGAGTTCAGATGAAAATTTCATACAAACAAGCTCTTTTTCACACTCAAAATACACAATGATCAGTCCCCCATGTGTCTGAAAAGTTTTGGGTTTCAAGCCTCACTAGGACAAATTTCACTGAATGGTATAAGAGTAGAAGAGGACCTCACCACTTGATGTGTTCTTTTTTTGTTCTTGTCTGCAGCAAAACACCAGAAGACCCCTCAGGTAAGGGTAGAAAGGCAGTATAATAGACTGTTTTAGGAAGATAGAGAACTCTCGTCACTGCAGCACTTTTATAAACAGTCTAGACAAACATTGGTCAGGAATTACCTACGAGTAACTGGTCCTGCCTTGGGATGCATGAATCTCCTTTTAAGTCTTATGAGAAGTAATTTGCCTTTTTTGATTTTTATGTTTTTCTTCTAACTGAAAACTCTCAGGTTGTAATTACACTTCAGAACATGTGTACAAATTTGATTACAAAGTATAACAAAAATTCAAAACTTCCTACTAGACAAATTTATGCATCTTTCCTAGGATGGGTACTTTTTTCTTGGGGGGGGGGGGGGGGGGGGAAGTCCTACAAATGAGTACAGACTACTTTTATGAGAACTAATCAGCTCAGCTCACTCTTATCCAAATCTTTACTTTACCAGGACCTGAGAAAGCTGATAGATCCTACCACCTCATAAGAGGTAGCTAAAAAGCGCACAATGATCTAAAATCCCTTGTGATCTCAGGTAACAACTTTAAACATATATGGAAAGGCAGAAATGACAGAAAATAGTCCCTTGAAATGGAGATGCAAGAAGGAGGCAATTATCTAAAAATTGCCCATCTGAAGAAACAAGAGTGTTCAAGACTTTCTGACAGTTGAATTTCATAGTGAGACTGAATTCCGTAATTTATACCTGAGAGATGAGCAAGTTTTATAGCCCTCATCAATACAAAGAAAATTAGCATGCTGAAAATATTCACTTAAGTCCTAAATCATATCAAGGCCAGAAGCAATCACAAATGGAATGGAAATCTGTCCATAAAATTTATGAAACAATTCTTGTTATCAAACCTGTTGGTCCAACGGAACGTTAATTAACAACAGAGCTAATTGTTAAAGCTTCAATAACTGTCATCATTAGAGAATTAGAATATCTAGCAGCTCTACCAAAACGTTGCATCAGTTGTTTTTGTATTTTAGAAGGGAACGATGGTCTCGTTTCTACATTATTCAGTGTCAGATACAAACAACTGAGATGAAATCCTTTCTTTGCTCTGAACCTTCTCCATGAAGTCAGTCAAACTGTTACATCATCTTTAATGCATTCCTGAAGTGCAAAATACTGCTTTATTTCACAGGGATGTAACAGATGAATACATTAAAAAGATTGTGAAATAGATATTGTGGTAAAGGGGACCATACATGGACTGTAAAGAGGTACAAAACAGACACTTAAATTTGATCAAGTTTTTTTACCCTTAAATGCATGAGTGAGAACTCAGTCGCGTATAAACCAGAAGGCCTATGTTAAACAAACCACAATCTCCCCAAAATTAATCACTGGTGTAACTTGATTGAAGTTGGTGAAGCTGTGACCACTTAAACCCAGTGGTGAATTTAGCCATGAGTGCTGTTTCAACTCTCCCCTTTCCAACAGGAAGTTATAAAGGTAATTCATTTCAGCTCTAATTGTGTAAACACATACTAGTTATACGAGCTGTCTCTAATAATTTATGCATACTTTTGATTAATATATCTTGGAGAGGTTTTCTGAAGCACACAGTTATCAGTTTTTCTATTAGAATTTGAATGTGTGTTTGTCATACCTGAGCCTGTAAACAGAGATCTAATTTGTTTTAGATCAGTTTTTCAGAAAACTCTTATTATCAAGACCACTTTAAGTAGTAGCTTCCATTAAAAAAAGCATTTTTCCATTGGAAAGTCCCAAATATCACAAACATTAATAAAACCTAGCATCAATACTGTAAGAGGGTAAAAACTAATTTCATTTAAAACCCAAACTAAGATAGTTTAAATTATACCAAGACAGGAGGAGATTTACAGCCTATAGAGACACTGAATGATTACTATTTCTCCTTGTACTAATGATGTCATATTTCAGTGCTAAAATAGTAGACTTTAATAGTCTTCCATGAGAAAAAGAGAAATCCACATAGGAAACTAAGCAGCTACCAAACAACAGTGGATAAAGGGTAATTTTATGTGCCAGCTGTCATAAAGTCTTCCTGGGATCAAATGTATAAGCTTTGCACTGTGAACGTCACTTTATTTTATGAAGACATGAATAAAGGAAGATGCCAAAATATTACCGAACAACTTACAAACTTGTAAGTTTCACAACAGATGCCCCCAGTTCCTTTATTTTGCCATTAGTCAACTGTAACACTGTAACAACAGAATGAACAACACCTGAACTGTGACGCAGGTCCAGCTGAAATGTTGGTCTAAAGTGGTAAGATCATTACGCCCTCTCTTTGAGGCTAAAAGCACACAAAATTCCAAGTTTTAACCATTAGAAAAAACCTCCAAAGTGTACACTCGAAACTTCCATATTATTTCAATGACATATGCATCAACTGAACCTAAAAATCTTCCTAACATGCTCATGTTATAATGATAAAACAAACACCAGGATTAGTTGTTTGTTTTTTTAAAAATCCCAAAGATATTCTGAATTAATCTCAATTTGTCCTGCAGGGTAATATTATTTTTCCAAACAAAATAAGAAAATTAAATGAATCCCATGGACAGAGAAAAGCAGTGTTAAAGCTCACATTATAAGGCTACACATTAGCAATTCAGTTTGGACAGATGGAGCAGTGTATTGGAAAAAACAGTAGAAAAAACTTCACACTCCTAGGCAATTCTGTTCCTAAAAAGCAAGCGTGCAACACACCAAAATTTGTCTACAGAAATATTTGACGCTAACATCATTTCTCCTCTACACTTCTAAGTCAGCAACACATTTTCAAAGACATCACAGTTATACTGTAAGTAGATAAATAAGTAAAAAAAGAGTAAAAAAATCTTTAGCATGACAAGCTCTTGCGCAAGATAACATTGCCAAAGCATTCAAAATAAAGACTTATAACAAGATACAGACACAAACGCAGGCTGAGTGAATTTGAGAGTCAGTAGAATGTGCTCCTCAGAATTCAACGAAGAGGAATTCCGAGAGAAGTAAACAGAAGATGCACCTATTTTAATGTTTTTACTCCTGTCCACAAGGATTTAATAGCACTTCTTTTTGCATGCACACAAAAAGTATTTGCAGTAAATTTAGTGCTGATGAAAGATGCCAGATTGATAGCCCTAGGGACTGTGTTTCTCTGTATACACAGAACAGATATAGCACAGTGAGAAAGTTTGTACCCCTGCCAAAATGCCTTACGATACACAGCTTATGCAACAGTCTTCACACTACAGAACCCTTTGCCTCTCCACTGAAAATGTCAAAAACATTGCTGCTTAGTGTTCATTATAAGGGAAAATAAGACATGGACACTGTTACTAGCATCAGTAGGGACAGAATTCAAGGCATCAGCTCATTTAAAAATGTTTATTTTTGTGCTGAATGGCTCTTTTGTCATCTGTGAACTTTGCTGCAGTGTTTGTAAGTCTGCAAAGTCAATCTGCACCTGGTGTGAAAGTGCTTTCCTATTAAACAGCATGTTATTACAACAGAAAAAATAGCAAAGGAGGAGTGGTTTAACATTTTTTTTTCCAAATAAGCTTATACTAACATACATGACCACACACCTAGTGCTCAAAAACAATCTCAAAGGAGAACTAACTTGATAGTTTCACTTAACTGGTACCTGAGCACTCACTCTCCAGTGATCTGCACAATTGATCTAGCCCACTTTTAATGGACAGTAATTCCCTATTAATCAGGTTTTCAGCACTAGGCTGGAAGCTACACTGTCACATGGAGCAGGCAGGCTTCCAAGGAACCTTGGATTCTTATTTCCCTTACTACTAATAGCTTGGCCAATAGCAAAAAAACCTCCACTCCCCACCCAGGCCCTCATCAAATCCAAGCGTCCAACCATTTTTCATTGTCAACAGATTATACCTAGAAAAGCAGTAAGTTAAGGTTTATAAAGCATATTGGCTCTAAATACAACGTTGCTGACCTCATCATAAAGACTGACTTTCACTTTGAAGGAAGATGTCCAATACAACCCACAGGCTGCAAACTTACTGGATCTCAAACCAGATGGTGGCATAGGATTAAATGCTACTTCAGTCCTTGAGACGTTTCCTTTGTGCAGGTATGGGCTTGGAGTGGGGGACACTGATGACAAGGGAATAAGACAAAAGAATGAGGCTACCTTCTGATTTTTAAAAAATAATTCTTCCTAGAGATTATTTTCCTGACAAAACAGCGCTTACAGCACTTTCGAAGAAATCTCTTACCACTCCTCCCACTATTTTCCTTGGTCACCATCCAAAGTATTACAACAAGACTAGCGAAGTATGCTGAATAAAATAAGTGAAAACAATAATTCTGTGACATCCTGCATCTCAGCAAGGCACAGAGACATTTCTGCCAATTCAAGCATATAGCAGATTATTCTATTTTCACATTGCTGAAGCTAATATATTTAAGTGATTATTTCAGCTCTTTTTCTGAACATCAGTTCTGGTTTTTTTAAGCTTTTTTTAAAGCTTAAAAGCTTTTAAAGCTTTTTAAAACTTTTTTAAAAATTCACATTAGAGGTGGTATTTGGTAACAGGTAAGCCTTTCAATATATGCATAATTAAAAAAAAAGAACAATCAATATTAATAGTAAATCTTAAATTTTACAATGAGTTAATGATAAAATGGGTTATGGCGAATAAAACAGAAACATAAAGAGTTTCTGAAACAATTATATGCTAACAAACTTAGTCTGTATTCTGAGCAAAATAGGAGTCTCTAACAACAACTATCACTAACAGGACATTAAAAATTATGAACCTGCAAATTTCCATTCACATACCTCTCGGGTTTTTTTGTGCAAGATGGGAATTCTACTGAATTTGTACTTAAAATGAAGTATGGGCATAAGAGTTTGAAAAACTGACATTAAGATGTATGTACTACTGCAATTTTCCCCCTTACTTAGAAATGCTTCTCAATATTTACTATGGCTAAGTGGTTAATACATAGCAAAATAATACTAAAAGGCTAATGCTTTAATATTAACTTAAAAATTACACTTTAAATGGAGCCAAATAAAAGTAAATGCAAAAGACATATAGAAGCAATGAGGAAAAAAAAAAAAATCTCTTCACTGATCTTTTTGACCCATACAACTAATGAGCTCTTTTGGTTTAAGCATAGGCTGGAATCCAATCAAACAGGTAACCCTTCTGATTCCTTCTCTGATTTATTTAAAAAAAACAATAATTAGGAGGAAACAATAATTTCAGAGCACCCAACAATGCACTTAAATTACAAAGACATAAGGCTCTATGAGGTAAGACTGTAAATTCAAATATTTGCATGTGGCACTAGCTGGATTAAATTAGAAAATATATGCCACAATCAGCCATTAACTTAAAAATAACTGTTCAAATGTCCTTGAGATACACTTTAATGTATTAAACATTACATTCTGCATTGTAATTTCTAAACAAAAAATGTACAACACTTACCGTTTTCCTAAGGTTTCATCAGTTTCTCAAGGATAATGACCAGGTCAGAAAGAGGTAGTCCTTTATGCATGCAAAATTCAGTATATATCTGGCAGTTCTAGGAAAAGAAAAAAAAGAATCATAAATTTATCCTACAGGTATCTATGGTCCAATGCAGGTAAGTGCTAAGATAAAGTAAATACAAATATGAAGAAAAGTGTACCATTTCTAGTGCATAAAGAATGTCAGGGCATTTTGGCTTTACTTAGCAAACACTTCTCTGAATAATCTCAATTACTCTGAACAGCCCATTCAAAGATGACCCCAGCACTCCTGAATACTCTGACTGGCAACAAAAAATTCCCAAATTTTTTAATTAACCTTAAAAATATATGGAATACAACACACCTAACCTTTCCGTGGCCATAGCTATCAATAAACTTTGATAAGGAATGCTGAATTAGGACATTACTAAACACTTGCTTTAAGAAAACCAAGTTCTGCTTGATGTTCTAGAAGTCCAATGAATTTCTGAATTATCAGACTAATTAATGAGAGGGAAAAAGCTATTAAAAACATAAAGTCCAGTCTAAAAATGGGTTGAGGTCTATCCCATCATCCAGCTGAACAGTCTGCCCATTTCCCTTAAGGCACAGGGAAGACTATTACAGCACTCAGTGTAAAAGAGCAGAGTATTTGAAAATAAATTGCAGATATGAAGAACTGCTGCATTCAACAAGGCATTTGCAATCTTTCCTAAATTCAGCCCAGCCCCTCCTCATGCCACATGCAGATCCACCAGAGAATAGCAAAGCCACAATTTTCTGTCCCAGGTTCTGTTTAATAGAGATACGTCAAACAAAATGACTTTGTTTAGTAAGTAGGCACGTGTTAACTTCTTACTTTACAAACTGAGAAATGAGATACAAGAAATTAAGCATTTTGCACAAAATCATACGGAAAGTCTACTTTTGAGCCATTAATTTGAAGACCAGTCTGCTCCATGATTGCCAGATCACTCTTGCCTTCTGCACAAACTAGACAGGGAGCGGGGAAACACGTTTGGGAAGATTCTCTCTCCCCTTCGCCTTCGCCGGAACTCTATCACACCACGGCCACTCACCTGCCACTGACAGGTTTTAGCACAGTATCCCTGAAGGATGAACTCCAGTTTCACAGAACTTGAATACGTTTTGAAGACGATTCTAAAGTTATTTCTTGTTAAGGCATTAGGGAAATCGTTGAAAGGACATTGTCGCTGCTATTGAATTACTGGTTTTACCTAAAACGTAACTGCAAGACAGTATCAGGCAGAAAGAAGCCGAGAAGGACTGCTGTCAGAGATGGGCCGGAGCAGGATCCTGCACCTGCTGAAGGCAGCAGGGCGATACAAAGAACCGAGTCCCCAAGTGACTATTTAGCTGCAGACGCGGAGATCAAAGACTCCCGAGAAACACCCAGGCAAACCTCAAACTAAATACGTAGCTCCTGGGACTTCCACCAACACACCGAGCAGACATCCCTCCACCGGCGCGCGGCAAAACGTTTCTTGCCGGCCGAAGCCTCCCCCGCTCCTCAACGACCAACGGCCGCCACACGACATATCCCTTCGGTTTAGCCCCAGAGGTACCGCTCCGGGTGAAGGAACCGCAGCGCCGGCACCTGCCATCCCGGCTGAGGCGGGTAGAGAGCTCAGCCCGCCCTGCCTGCCCGGTACTGGCCTCCCCGCGCCGCGGCCGTTTAACCGCCGCCCGCGCGCGCTCGCTCGGTCGCCTCACGGCGGAGCTTCGCCGCC